GATCTCTGTTCAGATAGTGATATGGACTACCAGAACAATCCAAATCATTATGTAACCAGGAAAATGACTATAAAAAATGCAAAACATCAAGAAGATTTTATCTAAAGCTCATGTAACAATTTGTGCAAAAACACAAAAGGGACAGATGATCTTAATGAGTAATTATTTATTTTATGTTTATTAGAATATATTTATATGTATATACATACGCGTGAATACATTTTATGAATTAAACATTGCCTCTTCTATTTAAATATAATCGATAGAACATTATATGAAACATTCATTTATTAAGTGATTATTTATCTTTATAATAAATTATTTTTCCAATCTTGTTATTACATTTGCTACGTTATGTTATATAATATGCTATAAAATAATATAATTATAATAATAATACTTTCATAATCAAAATTTTGGAAATATGTGTACAATATTAACACGCGAGTAAGTATTAATTAAATATTTTGAATGCACACATAGACAGTTTGCGTACGATAAATAGAAAAAGCTTAAGAAAGTTGAAGAGATTAAAAGAGAAAAAGCAATTTTCGTTATATTATATTTTTCTATAGACAGTTACTACAAGAAATATAATTGAATAACATAAAGAAAAGTTTAAATATATTTTCTTATTCAAAAGTCGTAAATAATATTATTATGTACATATTATCGTCGTACATATTGTCCAGTATCTAATATATAATTATAACAATAAATGTCAAATATTTCATCACTTTATCAAATTTTTGTCACATTTTATCTCACACAGATTCGCACAGAGCGCTTCAAATTCTATGGATTGTATTATGAAGAGTCTTTCCGAATTCAGAACTTGGCAGAATGTGTAAAATTATCTACTCTGAATAACGATTTATTCTTTGATGAAATCTTCGACTTTTTTAAATAAGAATAACATAATAATTTATTATTATGTTACTATAAAATAATTAGCGATTATGTATAAAACATATACATTTATTGACAACTGAATTGACAATTTCGAAACTAAATTAACCTTAACTAATTAACCAAATTTAAACTTTTGCTACTTCTGGAAATCTCAAATTGACGCGTGTAACATAACATAAGGTATAATTTAGAGCGTTTTCTTAACATTGTAATTTTGGCGATTTTTTAATCAAAATTTTATTAATGTCACACTAATGCAATGACACAATTGTAATTTTTTAAATTTATCTTGTTTTGTTTTAATATGATTTCCGAGATATAACATTTTAAATATAAATCTTTTCCTGCGTAATACATGAAGAAAGTATTTTATTCCATCTTTATTCTGTATTATAGGGAAATAAGTTCATTTGTATTTGCATTCATTGATTTATTATATGAACATACATATATATATATATATGTATATATAATCGGACATAATAAATCAAAATGAAATATGAAATAGACAAAATACAATATAGCTATTTTTAAATTGAACGCATTTCGAAAAAACAAAATTTTACTGAATAAAAACAAAATGCATTTTAAAGCTAAAAATTTTTAAAATAGCCGTTCTTTAACATAAATGTAAGTATAATGTAAAAAAAGATGAAAAATTACAAAGAGAAATAAATACATTAAATAACTACGTTTATGTTGATTAGTATTAAACACTATATGAAGTACCTATTAACTTAATTATTACAAATAAATGTAAGTAAGTTATAGAAATATAAGTGGAAAAAAAGAAGTTAGTTACACTTACTGAAAAGTGATTCTAACTGTACTTCGTTACAATAAGTTACCTTTCAATCTTGATAGAAAGTTCCATATAATTTGTATTTCTTAGGCCCAGTTGCATCAATGTTACTTTGATTTTAAGCAAGGCTAAAATTCTCTGTGTCTCTGTCTCTCTTTTGCTTTAAAGCAAGACAGAAAGCGTTTTAAAGCTCACGCTTAAAGTTAATGTGCAATCGAGCCTTATACAAACTTCTGTAATTAAACTGTGGACTTAGTGTAATAGAGAGAGATAAACCTGATTCCTCATTTTAATTTATATATGCGTATGTATACGTCCTGTCTATGAGTATCGCATAAATTTATGTAAAAACACTATGTTAATCATAACAGAAATTATCACAAATGCGAAATATCATTTCAAATTTTTCATTCATCAGTTTTTTAATTTTATTGTATTCTAAAAAATAATATAAATAAGAGTAGATAGTTTGCAGTGTAATAAATATCTTAAAAAAAGGTAAAAAAAAGACGCTAAATTTGCGTGAATCTCCTATAAATCCATAAAAAATTATT